CTCAAGTACACCGATTTAGACAACAATTGATTTTGGTGACATCTTTGTGGAGACTTTCCAGAGTACTTACGACAGATTTTATAGAACAATTATATACTTAATATTTTATTTGACTATAGTAATTATATTAACAAGTATGATTGGCATAAATACATTTGGAAACAAAAACAGGTGTAGCCTGCAGGGACCTGAAGGCACCTGAAGGATGTGTGTGTTGGAATGTGACATGAGTTTGGTGACATCTTTGTGGAGACTTTCCAGAGTACTTACGACAGATTTTATAGAACAATTATATACTTAATATTTTATTTGACTATAGTAATTATATTAACAAGTATGATTGGCATAAATACATTTGGAAACAAAAACAGGTGTAGCCTGCAGGGACCTGAAGGCACCTGAAGGATGTGTGTGTTGGAATGTGACATGAGGGCCAAGGTCACTCACTTTACAATGGTGACTTAGTATGTGACCGACTAGGGATGGCAATTGACTAATTGAGGTCAGTTAATATACCTTTTTCATAGAGAACACCAGATATTATCCACTACTTGAAAAACATCGTAAGAGCATGTATACTTTATTTTGTTTTCCCCATATCATGATAAACAATAAAAATGCATTGATTTAATTATATCTCATTAAACTTGTACATAGCACACTTCTTATTTCAACTTTTAAATAAGTTTCCAACCTTGACTATAGTATCTTTGATTGTACAGCAGAAAGAGAAGTGCATAGCTTTGTTTTCCATATATTATTTAAAGGTAGTTGATGAAAGTCTTATTTATGCTTTAGCAGCCAAATGTTTTGAGGATATTTTATTTGAAAAGAAAATTATTTATTCATTTCTTTTATATTCCCCAGGAGTTGGAAGATTTATTTGATATGCATCCAACAAATATTTGCTTATGGTATATGATGGTTGAGAATATATTAAGTCAAATGCATACTGTATGCATTGTCATTTAGGGCATTTCAAGTTTTATACAGAAAAATATCTGTGAGCAAGATGATTATGCATGGTACTTTTTATCTTGCTGTATGTATTTGCTTGTATAACTGATAGCATTTAATTCCAAACAAAAGCATCTGGGTTATTGCATTGTTGCAAGTACAAAGTGTGCTTCTCTTTCCAGCATCTGAAACTAGACACCAAGATCACCACACAATCATTTAAGAAAGTTGCCCTATTGGTTATTTTCAAATGAAAATATCTTCTTGTAGAAATATTTACCATGAAAGGCAATTAATTTAGAGCATTTCCACAAAAAAAGGACTTCCTGGTCCTTTTTTAAATAATGTTCACATTATTAAATCACTTTATTTACCTTTAGATACTAAAGGAAGTGTAACATCATTATTATTTAAAATACAGTCGCCATCCTGTATTTTAAATATAAGGCATTTTCCTAAAATTAATACAGTCTCCACAATGCTGAAAAATTAATCTCAAATTGAGTTGCACAATATACCTAACTGGGAATTTTTAGAAATATGCATAGGTGGACCCTATCCCCAGGATGATGATTTAATTATTCTATAATGGGATTCAAGCAACAACACTGTGTGTGTGTCTAATATATAAATGTGTTCATATGGATTTGTGCACAAATGGGTGCAGATGAGTGTGTGTGTGTCTGATATATACGTGTGTGTGTGTGTGTGTGTGTGTGTGTGTGCGTGCGCATGCATTTAAAGACCAGAGGTCAGGATTTGGATACCTTCTTCAGTAACTCTTCATCTGATTTTTTGAGACCAGGTTTCTCTCTGAACCTTGAGCTCATTGATTCAGTGAGGCTGCCTGGCCATTGAGCATCAGGGGTCTGCTTGTTTCTGCCTTCCAGACAGACCTCACTTTTACATGGGTGCCAGGGATCCGAACTCAGGTCCTCATACTTGCATGGCAGGTAGTTTGCCAACTGAGCCATCTTACCAGGCCAAAGCAAAAATATTTTTAGGATATTTTTAATAACCCTAATATTCATGTAGAGTTGAATGCCATGATATATAATAATTTAATAATTTACCTGAGCTACAGTTGTAACTCAGATTTGAACTATTGAAGCAATAATCAAAATTCATATTATAACAGATCTTTGTTCATTTAACAATATTTATGCATGATCTACTCCTTTGTAGATCACTGGTTGGTTGCTTTTGTCTTTCTTGCAGTATTTAGTTTGCTTTCATAGAGGCAAAAGCTGTGGTCTTACTAAAACATCACAAGAAGCATATATACAAAAGCTGAAACTTATTAATGTGGGTTTCAGTTGTGCTTTCCTCTGAATACTGTGAGACTCTCAATGTCCTTTTCACTTTCTTCCTTGTCTTCTAACAAAGATTCAGACCAAAAGAAAATATATTTAGTCATTTTGTGTACTTTTGTCCATAAGTGTATTTTTGTCATCATTTTATATATCAATTTTTTCAGTATGTATTTGAGAGCTACCTGCTGTGGCCCAGGTTCTGTGGAAACATTTTTCCTCTGAAATGACTCCCGGTCTTATCTAGGAGGCAGGGAAGTAGATGAGGCATATATAGTTGTGTCTAATATACACAACAGCAGAGTTAAATGAATAACTTCATTGAGGAGCAGCAGGAAGTATCTCTTCATGGAAATAACAGCTGATGATCCAAGGAAAGAAGGTTTCTGACTGGAAATGGAATATGTGGAAAATGTCTGAGGCTTCAGCAGTGTGACCCACCTGCCAGTGGCACAAGTCCATGAACATAGGGGTGGCAGGTGTTGGCAAGTGAGGCCTCCCTGACTGTCCCCATTTACTATCATAAAAAGGATCTTCTGAGCCATTATATTTAATTTTGTTCTGAAAAGGCCACTAAAATCTTAAGCATTGCACACTGATTTGATCAGTTCAGGTCCTCCTAACGCACATCTGTTCATAACTACTCAGTATAATAATCAGTTGAAGGTCTCTTCTGCTTTCAGAAAGAATTAGTCATTTAGTCTTCATACCTATTGAAACAATTCTTTAATATCTATGAAACAAAGCACAAAAATCTAGATAATCTATTCATTGGGCTTTGTGCTTTAGTTGGAGATTTTACTTTTAGGCCAAGGGTCTCTTAGGTCTTTTAATGTTCTTGTAACTGTCAGGCAGTGCACTTAGTACATTTTCAAATCAGAAATTAGATATATGAAGTTGAAACTCAATAGTGTTTAGGCGATATTTAAAGTTATGAGGTTTCTTTTTGTATGTGTATTTTATTTATTTAAATTGACCTAATTTAAAAAATAAAATAAAATAAATTGACCTAATCTATGTTGTGTGCAACAACATGGTGTTTTGATGTGCTTTGTGGAATGGGTACATCAAGCTGATTAACATATCATCACTTCATAAACTTTTATCATTTGTGGATGACTGTGAAAATAACTAAAATCTCTAAGAAAAATTCAAATACATAAGGAGTAGAGATCGCTCAGTTAGTAGATGTATTAGTCACTTTTCTGTTGCTGTGATAGAAACACTGACTCAAGCAAGTTATACAAAGAAGAATTTATTTGAGCTTACAGTTCCAGGGGAATCACAGTCTGTCATGGCAGGGAGGCACAGTGGCTGGAGGTAGCTGGATCAGGAGCAGCAGAAGCTAAGCTCTCACATCAGGCAGGCACAGGAAGCAAGAGAGCAACTGGAGATCCCACAAGGCTTAAGAACTCTCTATGCCCACCCCCAGTGACGTGCTTCCTCCAGGATAGCCACACCTTCTAAAACCTCCCAAAACAGCGCCATCATCTGGGGACAAAATGTCCAAACACTTGGAGCCTATGGGGGACATTTTCATTCAGACCTCCACAGTAGAGTTTAATCCCAGTACCTTATATACCATAATGACACTGTCTCAAAAAAATAAAAGAGAAAATTTCAAGTATACAGTACATTGTAGTACTGTATGATCATCATGTTTTAGAATGCATTTCTTTAATGTCCTTTTCCTATTTGGCTGAAATTTCATGTCCTTTAAGCAACCCACATCATCCTTTTTAAATAATTCTACAAATTTAGTGAGATCGTGTGATATTTATTTTTTTGTACCTGGCTTTTATTCCTTCTTGTTTTTAAAATCACTGTGGTATATTTGGAGTATAATTAGCATACATTTCCACAAAGTTCCGAGGCCTTTATTTTCTAAGATGAATTAAAATGTCAATTATGAGGATTAATTATTCTAGCTGATATTTATTGTGTACTATCCTATGCTATGTACAGTTCCTAGAGCTCTTATATATATCATTTTGTTTAATCTTCTTAACGATTTTATGAAGTGTCAGTCTGTGTTTTATAAATAAGGAAACTGAGGCACAACAAGACTAGAGGACTTCCTCTGTAGCTAATGTCATGAAGCTAGAAATTGAAGCCACACAACCATTGGTCTCTTATTTATATCCTACATCAGGAATGAAAAACCTTGGACTTGGCCATTCAGGAGTGCCCTGAAGGTCAAGTAAGCAACAAACTAGAAACATAGCTTATGAAGCCCTATAAAAATTGTTGATTGCTACTGTTAGTTCTAATCCCAGAAGATATGTGTCACATTTTCTATCCATATAATTTATGTGGCCTACGTTGTTTACAGATTCTTTTCCAGTTGCTTTGTTTTTAATACATTGTATATGTTTATTGCTTCTTTATAAAACTGGAAACATCATTTAGTTCATTTTAGTGAGGTCTTGAAAACATTAGTTTGCTTTCTCAATATGACTCAAACTACTGAACTCAAACTAATGAACCTTCTCTTGTACAGTGTTACTAGAATCATTGATCCTTTATCTTCAGAAAAAAAAAAAGAGTTTTCATGAAAGAGAGTAAATTCCCAAAATGTACACATGGAGCAGCTAGGATGTTTGAAGTCTGATGACTTGCTACTGCTGTTGAGTACAGCTACGACTACGACTATGATTCTTTTATTTGATTTTGTTTTTAACTTCAGCATTAATGATTTTTGTCTTTCCAGACTATCACAGAAAAACATAAGCTAAATGTTCCTGAGACAATGACTGAGATTCTGGATGTTTCTGATGAAGAGGGTGAGATTTCATCTGGTCTTTTGTGATTGCCTATCATGTTACTATACAAGGAAAACTAAACATTTCTTTAGGGACGTAGCCGGGGCTGTGGATGGCAGAGTCTTAATGTTTAAAGTACCACCTCTGCCTTTGTTTCACTATATTTACTTTTGCCATTGTAGAGCTAGATAACTTAGGTCAGCATATTTGCTCCTTATTATCTTTAATAATATTAATTAATATCTTATTAAATAATAATGAGAAAGGAGAAATAAATGGAAATTATCCATGTGCTAAAAGAGCCTCCTGATAGTACAATTATTATTATGAATATATATATTAATTATATAAGACATTTGCATTCAAATGCCTAAAACACTTTCAATTATTCTTCATCAGTGGTATATTGAAAAAATCCTTGCTTCTAAATAAGAGACTGTGGAGCACTTAGCCCTTAATGGATCACCTACATCATAGCTTTCCTACCAATGTTTAGGGATCATTGCAGAAGAGGAGGAAGAAAGAGTGTAAGAGCCAGAGGTGGTGGATGACTATAGAAAAAAAAACCAAAAACAAACCCAAAAAACAAAAAAAAACAAAAACCCTCCAGTGTTTTCCAGACAGCGAGGCAGTTACTCTATGAACTCACAGCTGTATGACCTACACAACCTCAAGCTAAATAAAATCCAAGTATTGAGGAGGGGAGGTGGGCAAGAGGTCCCAACTTCAGCTGAGCAGCTATTGGCAAGTGATAGCTGCTGGGGAGGAACAGTCAGATCTCCTTAAGGGTGTGACACTGGATAGGTTGACCAGGCTCCGGGGGATGGACCCACACCAACATCTGGGGACACAAATAAGACTTTACAGGTCTTTAAAAAAATAGAAGACAGGAAATTGGACAGGGAGTAGTAAGGTGGAGATGGAGGTTGGGGAGGGGATTGAATATGATCAAAACACATTGTATAAAATTCTCTGAAAATATTAAACTTATAAAAAAGAAATCTGCTTTCTGATTAGTTCAGATGTACAGAATATATATTTAAATCCAGAGGAGAAGAACTTTGGAAAAGGCATAAAAATACCTCAACATCAAATATTAGAACTCCAAAATGAGTAAACAGTTCTTTAAGTTAAGAAAAAAGATGGATTCTATGGTTTTAGAGTTAATACAGTTATCTAAGGTAGTAGATTTCAAAGTCCCATCAGATCTGTTTTTCTAACAGGTATGCTGAGGACTGCCTGGGGCAGAGGTAGGGATCCATACCAGACACAATAACAGGGCATTCCTATTTTCCCATACTGACTGACTTTCTGTTGTTGTTGTTGTTCTATATTTTGAATTTCTATGCACTGTTGTTCTTGGATTAAAAATATGCTACTATAAGATCATGGAATCACACACAGAGTATACAGACAACCTTCATTAGTGAAACTATCAGCATATCATTGAAAAACCATTGCCATAAATGATTGTAGTAGGCCTAAATCTAATTGCCTCTATAAAAAATAGTAAATATGTTTTTTAGGTTCTTCAACATGAAATCTTAAGATGACGCTTTATGTTCTTATTTGTAATTAACTTGTTGCTTTGTTATTAGCAAAGCAATAGGCATTATGCTGTATCAGGTTGCATAAAACTTTTGTCAAGAATGAACAAATGTTGGACCATTGTATTATGAGTAATGTAAGAGTATTGCCAAAGACTGCAATTCCAAATATGTAATATAATTCTGAGTTGTGGCCTAATATTTGCCAGCTAAATTTCAACGTCCATATATGCACAGCATGTTTTTGTTGTTGTTGTTGGTCTGTTGAATTATCTTTCTCATCCTCATTCATATGTTGTGCAGCTCTTAAACAATTTGGTGACCACTTTATTGATGGGGAAGAACTTAGTGACTCAGGTACCATTAGAGGAACTTGGATTAAATGCTTTTCTTTGCTTTTGTTTTCCTTAACTAGATAGAAACAACTTGTTTAATCCTTAAATCTTTGTGTTTAATACTAATGTTTCTTCTGAAACAGCTTGTGTAATGTGGTGGAATTGTATATGTGTGTATTTGATGTATGCATTTTATTAACTTGTAAGTTTAAAGCCATAAATTGCTTATGCTGGTAATGATTTAGTAACTATTATCGAGACTTACCAAACATAATTACCTTGTTTGAGGAACAGTGTAAGAATGTTTCCCCATAGGGTTTCCCTGTAGTCCCAGCTGGCCTAGAACTCACTTTGTAGACTAGGCTGGCCTCGAACTCACAAAGATCCACCTGCCTCTCTCCCAAGTGCTGAGACTGCAGGTGTGCACCACCACGCCCAGCTTAGAGATATATTTTTTAGGATATACATTTTGAGAAAGCATTTCCTTGGCAAGTTGACACGAAGTAGAATGAACATGTTAGTAACTAGTTTATTAGTTTCTATATAAATTGATATTGCTTGAGATAATATGGTCATATTATCCATAATTTAGGGTGGCAAAAATTATGTTACTTGAGCCAGGCATGGTAGCATGTACCTCTAGTCACATTGTTTAGGTAGCTGAGGCAAGAAGATAGCTTAAGACCAGATATTTAAGGTCAGCCTGGGAAAAACAGTGGGATCCTGTGTTTTTAAACACACAAACACACACACACACACACACACACACATTTAAAAAAAAAATATGTATATGGCAGCTAACAACTGTCCATCACTCCAGTTCCAGGGGCCTCTGATGGCCTCTTCTGTCTTCTACGGGCATTGCACGACACAGGTGCACTTACCTACATGCAGACAATACACTCATACACATAAAATAAAAATAAGTAAAATATTAAAAAACATGTATATAGATATTAGTAATCATAATGCAACCATTTTTAAAAGACAGTTAAGAGTACAGGTAAATTAACCTTTAAAAATCATTTAGGGTAGGGCTAGGGCTGGAGAGATGGCTCAGTAGTTAGGACCACTTGCTGCTTTTTAGGAAGTTTGGTTCTCACCACACAAATTGGGCAGCTCACAATTACCTGTAACTCTTGCTCCAGGGGATCTGATACTCCCATCTGGCTTTTGCAGGCACTTGCAAAGAAACACACATACACATGCACATATATGTAAAAAATTTAATCTTTTTTAAAATTTAATTTATTTTTTAATTATTCCAAAGAGAAGCAATTTTTAACACATTTTTCCAGAAATAACTTGAAGTAGGTTACATAAAAATATGTACACAATGAAGTTCAAGGGGGAAAAATAGGGATAAGAAATCAAAGACCAAAAGATTTGACAACATGGGGTCAACTTTGGTGGAAAAATGAAGGTTTCCATTAGCCCTGTTCTTTTTTCTCTTTTTCTTTTTTCTTCTTCTTCTTTTTTTTTTTTTAAAATCCTAACGAGTTTACTGGGCTTGCTAATAGAGCATAGGGTAGGGGTTTATTTACAGAAGAGTAGCCTCCCACCCCCATTTATGGCTGTGCTGGAAAATCCACACTGTGGATCCTGTGACTTTCCAACAGCTGCACAAAATGGGGAGAGAGGTGCCTTATGGCATTCTCAGCTTATATAGCCTTAACCCCACATGCAACTAAAGTTGACTGATTGGGTAAGAGGGGTAACTGACTTCCCACTTGACTCCTTGATGAGCATGGGAAGGAGGTATGACTATAGCTTGCCCACATAGTGGTTGGAGGACATGTCCAGTTAACACTCTACCTCTTCCTCCGGCCTCTTCCGCCAAAGTCACTGAGCCTTGGAGGGAGTGGTAGGTGAGGGATGATCTTCTCCCATTGTGGCAAGGCACTGAACTTTCAGGACTCTGCATCATCTGTTTTCCATGGGTTGTTGGTCCATTCCAGTGGGATTCCATCTAATATAAAAACACAAACAGCAAGAAGCAAGAACATCCAAACAGTGGCTGCTATAGTAACTTAATCTATGGGCATAAACACAGATGCTTGGATGGTACTTTAGCAGGTGCATTACATCCATCTCACAAAACAATTGCAGTGGCTTCCCCAATGAGGCCTATATCCTTCCCTGCCACAGGCTTGGTCTACAATACCAGATGTGTGTTCCACCTCTAGTAGTGGGCATTATATCCAGTCAAAAACTTGCTGGTTGTACATACACCAGATGAACCACTGTTGCACCAGCTGGAACATCTTGTTTGGCATGTTGATAGTGCAGCACACAGGGTCCATCATTGAGCAAAATTATAGGGGACAGTTCTCCCCCCAGCCATCGGCATATTGCCTTCTGGCACTATGAAAGCCACCATCCAGTGGCAGGGAGTTTCCAGCTTAGTCCAAGCTTGATTTCTCCCTCTCCTGCACTCACATCATGAGGTGTCTTCAGCAATAGGGTTTTACCGTCCACTTCTGGTGTACAACCAACATTATTAGCAATGGCCTTTATTGTTTTGGGGACATTTAGGGCCCCTCTGGCCAACAGCTCATAGATGGGAGAGCTAATGATCTTAATCCAAAATATTATTTTAAGATTGACCTTCACCTCTCTCCTAGTCTTCCTGACTAAAGGCAGGAAGATAGCGACACTACTGGCTCATATAGAGTGTTTGCTGAGAAACATGTTGGCAGGGGTGAAATGGACAAAGAACATGAGTTGTTTCTCACCCACTTAATGTGAGATGCTTATAGAAAATTTAAGTGCAGGATTATAGGAGGATGTGAAGGGTGGATACAAATTTGAACACATATAGTATATGAGAGGTCCTTGATGTCTTAATAATGTGTGGTAATAGGGGACATAAGAAAGGTCATGTAGAAATATTACTTCAGGCAAGTGAAAACTGAGTGGAAGAGTTAAGACAGTAGTAGGAAGACTAGGAGAGAAATCAAGGGGAGTTGTTTTTCAAATAAGTCACCTCTTGGTCACAGATTAGTTACTAAAATCAATTAACAAGAGCAAGGATCTGTTTAATAGGCTTAATTATGAAAGTAAGAGTGTGAGCTTTATTATTATGTCAACATAGCAATCACCTGAACAAATAAACTGACTCTTAAATTAAGAGTGGGCCGGAGTTAGAGGACACTAGTTCCCCTAGTTATGAACCATCCATTTCCTAGAACTGTGTCAATGAATCTTTCTGGTCCCTCATCCTGTGCAGATGGAGCTGCCTGTGTCCTTACCTTATGCAGAAGGAACTGTGTCTCTTATCATTTATTCAAAATGGTTTCTGCAGCTTCCTTGGGGAACACAAATTCAAGTTCAGCCATACCCTTAATCCTCATCATACTTCTGGCCTTTTCATTTTTAGTTCACATTCATACAAGGTCTGGTGTCCATCCCAACTTCCACTGTTTCCAATTGGTGGGTGTGTTCAAGTGCTTTGATATATTAATTGTCAAGCGTATCCCCATTCATTCATTATCATTTTGGGTGGAGTACCAAACTGAGGTTGCTAAGGAGACATCCACCCCTCACACCTAAGAACCAAGAGTGCCTGGTTTTGCAGGGATTAATTAAGTCATTAGTCTGGATTAAGTCCACTGATAAAAGTCATTCCTACAGAAGAAGAGAGAGTATGTAGAAAGTCTAAAGTTGCCAAAAGAAAGATTTACCTGTAGGAAGGCCAAGACCTCCATGGGGGTCAGTGGCAAAAGAAGGTGGCTAAAGGTAAGAGTTCAGACAAAGCATTTAACAAGGTCAGAGGCACAAGGTTCCAGAAATGAAGCTAGATTTCCAGAAATCTCTTCTTAATTGCTACTGTTGATGGGAAATATCACATAACAGGCTTTATGTGCAAATAATATGAAGGGAAATTTTATGCAGCATCAGCAAGTTTTGGCCCCAGACAAGTGCCTCTCTAGCTAATGGCAGTATTTGATTAGGTTCTGGGCACCACTACTAGGATTAGGGACCTTGTTTCTTTGAACCATAATTATGACATCATGACATATTTCTCAGGCCGCCACAAGTGTCTCCAAAACTCCTAAGCCCCACTTTTAATAACACTGAACATAGTAACTGCCTGAGGCAGAATGCACCCTCACAAACCATCAGAGGGCAGAGAATGGGAGGGAACACTCAGCCACTAGTTCATAAACTCAGTATGACCAGAGGCTTTCAATTTGTTCCATGGCCTGTCACCAGAATAATAAAAAAGTGATAGATTATGTTCAATCACAAGTTCTACAAGATACAGCTCTTAATGCAGCACATTGCTCTGTCAGACTTGGCATCTTCCCAGCTAGACTCTGCCTTACCCGCTTTCCCCTCTTTTCCTTTTGCTTAAACCTTCTCCCCACTAAGACACGACAAGGTCGAAAGATGAATTGAATAAGAAAATCTAAAATGGAAGCCCCATTTTATTGAGTGTTGAGAAATAAGAAATAAGAAATAACTCATTTTGAATAGTCTGTTTTCTGTGACCACCTTGGCTGCTGAGAGATTATGGGGGGGAAATGGCAAATTAGGAGAAATAAGTTGACATCCAAAACAAACTGACTCAAAGGAGGGACAGGATGCCCTAGTTTGGTAGTGTTAAGGACTCAGTGTTACGAAGCCAAGTTCAGTGGATTCATGGGGGTGGAGAAACAGAGTAAGGAAAAGAGAAAGAGTTATGAGCATGCAAACTAACTCTAGATTTTGAGGTAATTTGCTTGGCTTCTTGCTCAAGGGATCCATAATACACAGCTTGTGTCATGTGATAGATTTTGCGTTTATCTATTCCCATCACATTTTCACACACACACACACACACAAAAGGGTTGTAGACTGTATTCTCAAATGCTAGCAAAATTCTGAAAATGATTTAGGGTTGTCTCCGTATCAGACTATCGCTAGATTTTGGTAGTCTTGTTCTTAGAATTCATTTTGGAATTTATTTCCAGTTTTGTGTTCTTTTCCTATTGTGCACATTTAATCTTACAAAATATTTTATTGAAACACTCATATTTGAGACCAACAAGATGGCTCAGCAGGTAAATTCAGCTGAGAGCAAGAATTCAATCCCCAGGACCTACGTGGTAGAAGGAGACAACCAGTTCCTTTGACCTGTGTGTACACACACACACACACACACACACACACACACACACACACACAGTTAATAATATCTCATGAAGAGGGCTTATGAGGGAGATGGAGAAGAGCAGTGGGGAGGGGAAGAATAAAAATGAAGTCTAATGACAAACATAAATGAAAATTCCATAATGAAACCCTTTACTTTGTATCAGAAATAACTAAAGATTTGTAAAAAGTAGAAAAAACATCTGGGGAAAATAAGCATACAATAAAACATATTTGTTTAATGCCAAAAAAATCCCATTTATTTTAGAGAAATAGTCATTTCTTAACACATTGCCAATTTCACAAAAGATCTCTTAGTATTGGGTTAGGCACAGAATTATTGAAACTACAGAAAGATTTCAAGTAGCCTATACATTGGACTAATCATTAAACTAAACCAGTCATCATGATAAAATATACAATAAATGAAGCCAGTTGATAAGTATTCAAAGAATTATAATTCAGATAATTATTTCTTCTTGGCGTATAATAGGAAAATGGACCAAAATACTACCTCTGTACACTTTACCCGTTTGCAAATGTATGCATGGCTTGTAATGTTCCCAGGTGTACAATCTCTTCCTGTTAGAATGCATTTCATAATGGAAAACATATTTGTTGTTGATACTACATTCAACAAGTAACTTGCTCCCTCTTCCTCTTATTATCTGAAGGTGATGACACAATGACAGGTGATGGGGGAGAATATCTTAGGCCTGAAGACCTCAAAGAACTTGGTGATGATTCACTGCCCAGCAGTCAGTTCCTGGATGGCATGAACTACCTGCGGTACAGCTTGGAGGGAGCACGATCTGACAGGTATTCACCAAACATATTTAATGTCAGTCAGACGTGTATATAACACATTTTAAAGTTGTTTTTACTTTATCTTTTTCTTTTGGTTTTTAGAGACGAAGTCTCATTATGTAGCCCAGGTAGGCCTAGAACTTGCTCTGTAGTTCGAGATAAGTCTCAAATTTCTAATCTTCTGCCTCAGCCTCCTGAGTGTTGGGACTGTAGGCATGTGCCACTATGCCTGGCTTATAATACATTATTATAATGAAAATATAGACATAGTTATGGAGCACTTAATGAGTATCTCACCACTGTTGCCAGTTAGCACATTGTCGCATTTGTTTCTCTTAACAGCTTTAAGAAATATCTATTTTAAACAACAGCAAATTAATCTACAGAGATTAAATAACGTAGTAAAAACCAGACAACTGCAAAGGAGAACCAAGATGAATATGTGCTCTCTGCCTTTAAATATAGTGTGTTTAATTAGCTGCCCCTTTTTTCTAGCCAAATTCCAAGGGCAGTTTTGTTGATGTTCAGACCGGAAAGTAACCACAGACACAGGGAGTGTTTATTTCAAAGATAGCAGAGGGCTCAGCACCTCCAGGGCGAGAGCCCCGAGTGCCCTCTTGCTCTTTCTTTTATTGGCCTTGCAAAATAATTACAGCATGAGAAGAAGAAGACAGTACGTGATTTCTCACAGGACACAAATGCTTTTCCCAGCTGCTTTTCCCCAGCTACTATCTAGGTACAAAGTCCTGCTGTGGCTACTGACTGTCTTCAGGGACATTCTGGGCTTTGGAATAACAAGCTCAAGATGAAGGTTGGGGTGTCGATCAGTGTGCTGGCTGACACCTCCACACAGTTGCTTATGTGCAACGCACTTCATGGCATTCCTCCAACTTACTGTGACCTTCCAAAGCAGCTTGTCTGGTTAACTGTATGCTGCCCAATCTCTTCTCTTTATATTGTTTGGTTCCCTTCACAGTTTTGCCTTGCATATGCTCTTACCAAATAAAATCTGTGGGGACTTCTAATTCTTTCTTATTAGTGCTGTAATTTCTATGAACAAAATGTTGTAAAGAATAAGAGAAAAGAAGTGCAAAAGAAAACTGCCTGGAGTTAACTTTGTCATAAAAACAGAACAGAATTTACAAGAGGCAATCTGAGTGAAATCTGGAGGGGGAGCATTTTTACAGACAAATCTGGCAAGTGCTCTATAACATTTTGAACTTTATGATTAATGTTATTTCAGTTCTTACTAAGTAGTACAACTGGTTCTTGCTACTCTCTGAGGCAAACTAAATAAGAATGTTCCAGGTATGCTGGCAGAGGTATGACTGCTAATCTGGGTCACCTGTGTGTTTGTCCACTTACCAAAATGTCTTTTCCATCAGCAGTCATACACATAGTTTAAAGCTGACTTTTTTAAAAATCAACTACTCTCTGAGTTTCCCACATTTACAGTTTAAGAAAGTCATCGATTTAAATGGATAGTCTATAAAAGCAAGTTTGTCTTTCTTGAGCATTGGTGCCCCTTCCTCAGTGTTTTCTTTCCCCCTTCCTCTCTTTTTTAAGTTTTTTTTTTATTGTAAGCGCATTCAGCTAAGCTTTGTGGTATGTTCTGCAGGTACCAATGTGAATGAAATATGCTCACTAAATTCACAACCTAGCAGAGTGCCTAAGAGGTTAGGACAAGAAACACAGAAGTACTTCAAACTTGAGGTTCAAACTTCCTGATGGAGAGGAACCCAAATTGAGATGGGAGCTGAGCAATGATAGTTGCGGGAGGCAAAGAGGGCATTTTAGCCTTCCTTAACAAGGTGATAAGCAAAAGCTGACATTAGTTTGTGGATGACAGTGGAGTGGGAGTGTGAAATCACACCTGCATTTAGAGGACTCTCTCTACTGACACAGAGAGGGTACACTCCAGAGGAAAGTGGACAATGGGATAGACCACTCAGTTGCAACCTGGAGGTGTTATGAGAATGCTAAACTTTAACCTTGGTCACAGTCATGGAGGGAATTTCGGAAATAAAGTCTCAAGAACATACCTAGTGAGATTTGGTGATGAGTTAGTTGCATGGGATAGCTGAGGAAGTAGAAGTTTAGGTGTTGGTTGTTTAGGTAGAGGATGGCCCTTAGGATCAGGATACAGCAGGAAAAGTAGCCCCCTGGGGGTTGGGGAGAAGGGCTGAAAGAGTCCATGTTCCATGCATTTAGACTTGTAACCTGAGATGACGATCCTCTTCTTCTTCCTCTTCCTCTTCCTCTTGCTCCATCTCCTCTTTCCTCCTCCTCCTCCTCCTCCTCCTCCTCCTCCTCCTCCTCCTCCTCCTCTCTCCCTCCTCCCTCCCTCCCTGCCTCCTCCCCCTCCCCCTCCTCCCCTTCCCTCTCTTCCTCCTCCATCTAATTCTCGAATTCTTCTAGACAGGGTTTTCCTGTGTAGCTCTGGTTAGCCTGGAACTTACTATTTAGACCAAGCTGGCCTCAGACTCACAGAGATCTGCTTGCCCATGCGTCCCAAGCTTTGGGATTAAAGGGGATATATCACTACGCCTAGCATAACCTAAGATTCTTAAAAGACTATGTTTCAGCAAAAGAAAATATTTATACCTTTGTATGAATTCACAGTAATCTATGGATAGCTTTATTGCTCTCAGCCAAAAAAACAATTTTTTTGGCATAGTTTCTAATTACTAAAAACAAGCACTTGAGGGGCTAGAGAGGTGGTTCAGTGGTTAAGAGCACTGGCTACTCTTGCAGAGGACTGGGTTTGGCTCCCAGCATCCACATAGCAGTTGACAACCAACCATAATTCCAGTTCTAGGGGATTTGATGCTGGCTTCTGAGCATTGCACACATGGTGCACTTACATATATGTAGACAAAACACCCATATACATAAAATAAAGTAAATATACATTAATTTTTTTAAAACTAAGTACTTGAGCTGGCACATGCTTTTAATCTTAGCATTCAGAGGCAGAGGCAGACAGATCTCAGTAAGATGGAGGCCAGCCTGGAATTGTCTATGTAGTGAGTTCTGGGCCAGCTGGGACTACATATTGAGACCCTGTCTCTAAAAGAAAAAAAAAAGCCAATAAATAAGTAAATAAAGACAAGTACTTGATTCAGTCATTTTCCTTCTTTCAAACTAAAGTTGAGAAGCAATTTATAATATAGTTTCCATAGAACAGGCATAGAAGGTTTGAATCTTACCAGCACATAAAGGCAGGAGCATGAAATAAACATTATATGAACTGTTCTCTAAGTACATATGTGCATTTTGAAAGCACCACATGTATTCATGAACTTCAGAACAGAACTAAAGGCAGCATCTCATTTTCATAGTTTTCTTGTTTTATTATTATTTTAATTTTGCTTAAGCAATATATCACCTTTTTCTGATAACCACTTTTTCATTATTTTTTCATTTGATATGCTCTCAATACTACTTACTATTCCCAGGTAGGTGTTACACAGCATGAAACCGTGGCCTTCCTGGACTCATCCATATTTCCCTGCTTACTGCTCACAGTGCATGTGTGTGTGTGTGTGTGTGTGTGTGTGTGTGTGTGTTGGCAGGAGCTGCTTACATTCTACAATTATGGACTTATTCTCAAATTAACATTTTTATGCTAAATTCAATAGTCATTGGAGCTAAAAGAGATGAATCTATTATTAGGTTGACAGTTGGCCACATGAACCAGGCTTGTCACAGTACCACCCCATGGTTGATAAAACACAAGAATGGCTTCCCCATAGCAAATCTATGTAGGTCTATGTATATCTGTGGATACCTGGAGAAGTTAGAAAAATTATTCTGGTGCCTAAAATAAGCATAGATGCAGAAGGATACAAATACATAAAATTTAATAGGTATAGGACAAAAATACAACCAAATTCTGATCAGTTGGATTTCAATCCATTTGATTTTATTATTGCTTGAAATTTAATGTTGTCCAAATACAACTGAAAACACCAAATAACAACAAACTAAAGATGCTTCTTAAAACAAACACATTGAAATTTTTGTATAGTCACTTGTTCAGTAGTGTTTGAAATTCTATACGTTGAATGTCTAGTAAATATAGTTTGCTAAGCTAGTAATTTTTATTCTTATTGAAGTCTATAAGGCACTTGTACCATAGTCTGAATTGAGTCCCTAAAAGCCCTCTTGACATCTATAACTGATAACCCTGTAGTTGAGCAAGTAAAATTAAATTTCTTTGGCTATATTATTATAAGTGTATTAACTGAACAGGAGGCACTGATGTAATAAAACCTGAAAACAGTTGCAAAATATTTAAATTTGTTCACAGTGTTTTATGTTATGGTAGACAGTTTATAATCTAGAGACTTTAATTATTTCAAAATTCTATAAGCTAGTTATTATTTAATCAGATAGCATTATTCCTCTGCTGTTGGAATGGTCTAGCTATATGTATTTCATTTAAATAGAGTCTGTGATGTCATAGGGGGAAATTAAAAAATATAAACATTGATTAAATAATCCATCTGCATTTTAGAAGGTGGAAAACACAGTAAGCTAGAATAAGATCCCTAAAAAATACTTCGACATTGCACCAGCTAACTCATTTTCCCTTCCTCTCTTCTCTGCCCAGTTTTTCTGCTGTCTGTCTACATATCCCAGTGCCTGTACTCTTCTGTAACCACCTTTGGCTACATGTCATTCTGCTTCTTCCATTCATCTTCCCTCTCTTAGGATTTTAGGAAAGACAAAAATAAATAAAAACACCAGAAACTCTCTAACTCTAAGAGATCAAAACCAGTTGAGAGACAGACCCAGGTTATCAGGGAGATGGAAATCACACTCAACTTTATTGTTGGTACTAACTGCAGAATGGGACTTTACACTTCGTGTAAAGTGTGCCCTCTTTCTTACTGCGCTCTTGAGACAGACTTCACAGGATTAGTCATTGTCGCTTGAGTGGTAACTGAGACCTGGTACCTTCTATTAAAGTTTAGGTATAATACAATCCTGGCAGCTTTTTCACTGATTTTATTTCAGGTATTTTTATTTACTGTTTTGTGGCCCCATCAAGCTAAATTTTCATTTGAAACCCGTATTCTTCTTTCTTACTGATGCATTAAAGGGTCAGTTTTACCTAGCAACTGAGCAGGCATTTGTAATCAAATGTCATTATATGTGGTTTCTTTTGTAATTTTGATTCACATACATTTAGCACCTTTACATACATAAAGTGATAGTCTGAATATATGGATTCTAAAGCCATGGCTAAAGATTATGTACATATTAAGTCTAAGCAAAGTAGAAAAAGGACTTAATGGCATAAGATGGTTAAGCCCACAAACTTCATTTCAAAAGGTTGGCCCTCTCATGTTTTTCCTTCCCTTGGCCAAATTCAAAAGGAAACAAGAACATCACTTAAGCACTGCTGATCTCTCTACTGCTGCCAGGTACAAAGCACATCCAAATGGATCACTGCTGTCTTTGTCATTTAAACCAAGTAAAAACAACAGTTCATTCCACAATGGTGACATACTTTTACTCAATTAAAAGTTCCTTATTATTAAATCTCTACTCCAGCCTAAATTCAAGGTCAAGTTAAGATTGAGCAGTCTGTGGCCCACTTATGAAATCCACCATAAAAAGCCAACTCCACACCTTCAAATTCAGTCATAATCTAAGCTGCCTCCTCTTGCCAGGGTTCAAACCCAAGCTCATTAATTTACTAAGGCATCCAGGCTTCCTCCACCTCTGTTAAGAGCCTCAATCTACTCTGAAAACTGGTATAACTGAGGATTGCTAAGCTTTGATTCATATTTAAAATTTATTTTATAATAAACACAGATTTATGTAGGAATGAGCATATAATGTCAATAGTAAATTTCTTTGGTTCATGTCACTAATTTCTAAAATGTGAAGATCCCAAACCTACTGATGAAATGTAAGAAAGTGTTCCTATGAAACACCTCAGGCGATAATGGCCTCAAGCAACCAAAGCTGACACTGATGCTTCATAAGAATTATTGCATGTAGCTTACAAAATTAGATGCATTTGAAAAAATAAAAGTTGCTACTAATAAATATGGTAACTTGCCATTCTACAGTGCTTCACTGACCAAATGTCAACTAGATAAAAGTATAAAATTTGCTTCTGTAATTTTTAAATTTTTATTTATTTTTATTTTATGTATATGAATGTATTGCCTGCATGTATGTAAATATACCTGTGCCATGTAATGTCGTGGAGTTCAGTACCTAGGTCCTCTGGTAGAGCAACCAATTCTCTTAACTGCTGAGCCATCTCTCTAGCTTTTGCTTCTATAATGTTGTGAAAGCTTGCTTGTCTCTTTGTTAAGCCCTGTGGTCTTTGAGCTAATAGTTTGAATGCAAATCATAGATACTTGGACTAATTAATATGTGTAAAATCTATATAACATACATATTATTAATTAAATACCAATCTATAAACTAGGCATGGTAGCTCATACGTGTAATTTGAACACTTGAGAGGTTGAGGGAGGATAGATGAGAGGTTGACAGTTCCAGGCCATCCTTAAAAACAACAGCTTCAAAAAAAAAAAAAAAAAAAAACTCAAAAGCAAGCATTAATATAATGTCCTTTGGCTGTACAGACTGATAAAGAAGGAATGAACTATGCAGAGGACAATTTTAGCTATCTCAGTTGAGTCTATACAGAACTTTAAAATTCACATTTATCAAAAATATAAGGCACAGATTAGCAAGGATTAAATCTCATTTTGATTCTTGTCAGTGTCCACTGGCAATTATTCTTTGTTCTGGCATGTATCTGTCCTGGGCTGGTGCTGAGAAGCAGTTTCTTGTGCACTTACATCTCATCCCCACAGCAACCACCACTCTTTTGTGCCTCCTGTACTGCACACGAGTCATGCAAAGAGGATGTAGCTCTCCTTTGAACTAACAGTGCTATTGGACTCACCAGAAATAGATAAGAGGAGCCCCACTGCTGCCAGAAGCATGCATCTGGCCGTGGTTCACTTCATGCTGTACCTTCCAGGGGAGTGCACCGACACTGAGTCATCCACAGTGTAGAGGGTCTGGAAGACGGTGGGGAGTAGAGCCTAACAAGACCTGCTTCCTCTCATCTCTTCCCGCTCTCTGAAGTACTGTCTGCTTTCTCTGGAATACTTTTTCCTTAGTTGCAAGGAAATTAACATTTAAGAAATATTAATAGATTTTAGAAATCTATCCTGGAATTATTTTGTGTAAATTTTCTTGTACTGCAGTAAATAACAGCTGCTGATTTCAATCATTTCTGAGAAGAAAACGAATCAGATTAGGAGTATCAAATTTTAACTTGTGGATTCCCTTGTGCCCCTGCTATTGAATGTTAGCCAGAGAATATGTTAGTTAGCTGCTGTACAGAGAGATAGGGCCACACAGAGACCTGTGTCCCCCTGGAAGTTGTACTCTTAGCTAACAGCATGCTTTTTTCATTCTCCTGCTCGGCTCATTTCATGCTCCCAACCCTTCACTGCTGTTGATATATGACCATGACCTCCTGTCAACCTACCAGCCTCCGATCCTTCAGTTCCGACAGGTCTCACACTCTGAGCCATGCATCCTACCTGAGGGACAGTGCTTTGATTGATGACACAGTTGTAATCCCCAGCCATCAGGTATGCAACTTTCTGCCTTCATATCTTTCCTTTCTGGACAGTCTTTTCCTATTTCCTGATGCTACAAATATTCTGAGAAAGCTTTATTTAAAAAAAAAAATGAGAGAGAGAGAAAGGGAGAGAGAGTGAGAGAGAGAGAGAGAGAGAGAGAGAGAGAGAGAGAGCCCAAATTCCTTCTTAGCAGTCAAATTAGGATGAGAGATTTTGTGAATTTTCTAGAAAAATACTCACTAGGTTTTCCATCAAACAGTTTTTTTCTGAAATAATGTACCTTCTTTCCTTAGTTGTACTGAATTCCTCTGTGGAGATTTTATATAAGAATTTGTGTTTTGTAAATAAAATCTTTATTATGAGAAAAAGTGAGGTAGGATGCATTTACAAGATGCGTGGCATCTTTTAGAACAGATCTTGCAGTATTGAAAGTTGTTAGCTATGAGAAAAGGCTGATAATTTATTCCAGAATATTTTAATTTTTGGTATGACTTCATCACTTTTTGATAGATTGGATATAGGAAAAACAGATGGGCACTGATTCTCTTCAGAGGCAATTATACTAGAGCAATCTTATATTAATAATAAATTTTAAAAGGAAATGCATTATGAAACATTTATTTTAGATGATTTGTGCTTATGCTTTTAAATGAAAGTTTTCTAATATTATCTTTCATTTTGCTGCTTTTCAGATTTCATTATATTATACTTGAAACAAAGCGTTTTAATTAAATTCACTGTTCTTTGTGTGTAGGTGTCAACTCTAGCCAAGGAGGCAGAAAAGAATTCTTATCGTCTAAGCTGGGGCACTGAGAACTTAGACAATGTGGCTCTTTCTTCCAGTCCTATTCATTCAGGGTGAGTAAATCAATATCATGTATCCAAATCAAGAGGTAAAAAGAGATGGGAATGAAAATAACAGCTTTATCCAGTAGCTTTAGTTGGTGGTTAGCGATGTCCTCTCCAAATTGTAAATAACATTGCTTTTCCCAACACAGTCCATCTACAGCAATGAAATAGCAAAAAGAATTGAATTTGACATAAAAAACGATCGTTTTAAGATAATTCATGGTATTGCATCCAACAGCTTGCTAACTAACTAGTGGCTTCCTTACTGTTCATATACTGTCCTTAAGATATCTTAAAAGGGGGCTGGAGAGAGGGCTTAGTAGTTAAAAGCAATGGCTGCTCTTGTAGAGGACCTGGGCTTTGTTTCCAGCATCCACATGGAGGCTTATGACTGTCCTTAATCCAGTTCCAGGAGATCCAATGCCCTCTTCCGACCTCTGAGAATATTGCATACAACATGAATACACTTACATACATGCAGGTAATACACTCATACACATAAAAATAATAAATAAAATATTTAATGCATATTTTACTGAGTTTTTTGCACTTCCTACAATTGATCTTATTCACATTTAGACTCCATCCACAACCCTCCATACGCCCCCACTGGATTTTATGCATTCTCTCATATATGTTAAGGCCTATTTGATTAAGCTTTTGTACCCAGGTGTCCCTTGGTGCAAGTTTAAGATATCTTAAAAAGAAGAGGCTGGTTTAGTTACTTCGTAGAAAATTTCAATTTGCTAAGATTAATTGAAAGGTGTTTAATAAACACCTTTCCCAGAATATCAAAGCTTTTAAAATATTGGTTACAGGAGTCTAAATCACATAGATACACATATCATACACTGAAGTAAGGATATAAATATAAAGAGAAGTTCACATTCAGGTAGTCAGTTTCTCAGGTGTCTTCTTAATGCCCCTCATAGAGTGCCTGCTGCCTGCTTATAACTCACCAAAATTTAAAGCAAGACCGAATACTACTCCCAAACATACTTACAGTTTTCCTTAGATTTCAAAAAACTCTAATAAATATTTCTTAAGGAATTTTAAGTTATAATAGTATTCTATTTGGTTTTGCCCTGATATTTTTAGTAATTTTTAATAATATGTTAATATTATGTATAAAATCCTTCTATTTTTTCATTTAAGTAAAAGTTCTACCCATATTTTATCTAACAAAATGGAATACTTAGGTTTAAATTATTACCCCAAGTTCCTTATTTGTAATCTCTATAACAGTTTTGAATACTGGACTCTTCTTGTTCTTGGTATTTTAAAATAGCCTCTTTCCATGATGGAGTCCATGATATTTTTTAAAATTTTGGAATTCTTAGTCTAATCTCCCACTAAATGCCATAGAATATGAAATTGCAAGAGTCGTTCAGAGGAATTTAAAAAATTAAACTTCATTTAAATTTACTTGTGTATTTAAAGTGTAAAATGAGACCAAAATCTCTGTTATAAATTAGTCAAAACCTGTCACAGCACCCTCTGCTACTGTTTCCCACATAGTAGGTGGGAAAAGAGGTTGAAGACTGAGGACAACAGAGAAGAATCCAGACTCTGCCCTGTAAAGATATTACTTTAGGTAAAATATAATTAACTGAATAGCTGAATTTTTAAAGTTGAGTGTTACAGTAATAGTTTGGTTTTCAAAATAAATTATCAACATTCAAAAAGGAATCCTTAACATTAAGTGCATCAATATCCAAACTTTTTGACGAAACAAAATAACACCTGCATGCAATAATTACTGCTTAATCATTGTTGACAATTGACAATGAACCAGCAGCATCCCATGATTAAAGACCAATCAGTTAAACTTAGACTCTCAAAATTATAGTCTGCAGTAAACCAACTTTTCTGAATTTCAAACACTTAAACCAACTCTCAATTATTTATAACACTAGGTGAACATTGGAGTCACCTGGGAGCTTTAAAGATAACAATGTCAAAGACTCATTCCAGACCAGTTATATCAGAATCTTTGTTTTGGATTCCTGACATTGGTATTTTTCTGTGAGTCCAGGTTATTGAAATGATTAAATGGAAAAATCTTTGCTCAGTAATACCTTGATTATTAGGGATTCTCTGGAATGTTCTTTATATCTTAAATTTACTTATTTCTTTGTTCTTCATACATTAGTTAAATTCTACAAATCACTAGACTGTGTGCCAGTTGCTAAGGAAAGTAGACAAGATAGATCTAACACCTTAACCTTTAGAAAACACGTGTGGTAGTCTTTTAAGTAGGAGACCAAGTGCCGGAGGTAAATGTTAAGAGTGTGCCTTGGTATCTGACTGAGTAGAATTCAGACTCTTGAGACAGATACTCTGTATGTGGCACTGGCACATTATGAAAAAATCTCTGAGCTTTAGTTTACTTATCTGTAAGATAAGTATTATATTATCAATCCTATCAGAGCATTTTAAAGATTAAATGCTTTAAAATCATTAAAATTTGCCTAGAAACAATAAGTACTCAAAAGATTATGGCTATTATACAATCTCTCTATACACATTCCACGTTTCTCACAAATTGAAAATCAATTAAACAAAATGGCTCTGAATCCTCTGAATGGCAATATCAATGTACTTCAATTCACGATGGCAATGTGGCCTTGCTTCTGCTAGGTAATGCCATCTAGCAGCGTCTCTGCCATAATATTCAAGCAAACAGATGCTACAAATGACTCTAATGAGACTGAAAATTATCCTTGAAAATATAAGGATTCCAAATGTTGTGATATTTGAAAGTGACTTTCATGTGAGTGGATATGAGTAACATCCATCAGATCATATCTTGTAACAATGATTTTTTTAGTTTCATTATATACCAGGTTTCTGAGTAGTAGCTATTAGATATTTTTCAAGGAGCTGAGCTTTAATCTGCTCAAATGTAAAGATTAGGTATTTCTGGTAAGAGAATAGTAAAGATAGTTTTTTATTCATATGGCACAAGTGTGAGTGTATAATACTCTATTAAATTTAGTAGTTAGCTTAACTAAAGCTGCAGCTTCTATCACTAATCAATACTGATGATGTGTTCTCCTTCTACTTCATGTTTGAAAAGATATCCCTGGCAGAGGAGTAGATACATCCTACATCTGGAAAAATGAGAGACATACTTTGTTTGGTTATTTAAAGAGTTTTCTGGCTGAGTCATGCTGAATCTAAGAAACTAAGAAACAGTTGTACTTCACACCTTCGAGTCATGATCATACCAACAAAATTTAGGGCAAAAATTTGAATTTTATAATTCTTACGTATATAATTGCATATTAATTTGTCAACGTAAGGCAGTTCCTACCAATAGGGAATTTTGTAATGCACTTTGTATATTGGTATTCCAAAAGCCTTTTGTAGTGTGTAATGGCAGCCAAGAGCTGTTAATTAAGTGCCAACTCACCAGGTGTTAAAATGTACTACAGTGACATAAGTTCATAAAACAGTGATCTTTTAAAACATGCTGAAGATAGTTTTGTTGTGAACTTTACACTTCTTTAAAAAGTAAAGTTTGTTTACATATGTCTTGAAGCTATTTGTTCAAATAATAGACTATTTGAAATACGAGGAAGCTCATGTGACAATGTAAGTGCTTATGTAAGCACTTCCAGCTGTTAATTTAGGTTTCATGTATCTCAAAATTTCCTGGGAGTTCTTTTAGATTCATGAAGGTAAACTCTTAAAGATGGAGAAAAGTGTTTTATAAAGTAACAAATCAACTGTTTTGTAAGATTTGATTTCTGATTCATTAAATGTGTAACTTTTATATGTCAGCAAATGTTGAGAACACAAGGGAATTATGGTGGAACTACCCTGTGGAGGATTTTAAGGAGATGCAGGCTCATAGGTAGGAGAGGAGTGAAGGGTAGAATCATAAAGTCGGATTAGACATAATGTATTCAGTGAGGAAGACCACAAGTCCTAGAACAAACAATGATGTCTTGGGAAGAACTAAGACTATGTTTGCATAGATTTCTATTGCCTACTAGTACGTAATCAATGTTATCTACTTTCCCTTATATTTTTATACTGTTGCTTGTCACTGAAGCTTTCCTTTAAATTGTGCTTTTTATGTTTTCTTATTTTTAAAAGTATTTGCATATTTTTAAAAGTATTGCTAAGTGTCGCCATAAGCCTGTACCGAGACTACATTTCCACCCAGTGATTGTGTGAATTCCCCAGTTTCCTAAACTGGGAGTAGCCACAGATCTCCCATACCTTCTTCCTCTCTCAGCATTTGCATAGAGTGATATTGCACTTGTATTTCCATTCTTTTTCAATGAATATTGTATTAGTATATAAATTATATATTTCAGTCAAATGTCACTTCTAATTTCATTCTTTATATTTCACTTGATTTACTCCTTCTCTGTGCTAAAGTATCTATTCTGTTGCAGCCGCACTTCTCCATGTCTTGATCGTGACAACAGCAGGTGAATGTCTGCATAATTCCTCCTCTGAACGTGTAGCCTATTCCCCTCCCTCTTCCACCATCTCCTTTGCCTATTTCCTGCCTCAGGACGCTTTAGTGTTGATGATATTTAGCCAAAGTGACAGAGAGGTTTACATTCTTCAAATCAAGGCCATTGCTCAGTTTCCCTTTCTCTGTGAAGGGAAAGAGGGTATGTTAAGTGCCAGTGACTGTTAGGTTAGCCAAGCTAAAGTTAAAATGGACTCCCATCTGGTTTTGGTTGCAACATCTCAACCTCTTTTGTGAGCAAAAAAAGTGTTGCGTCCAACTGAAAACTGCTGTTACCCACAGTCACCAAAATTGGTGGAGCTGTTTTAAAGTTTTATTAAGGTTATGATTTTAAGTAGGGCTTACGGCTTTTTTGCCCCTTGGTTTTGTTTTTGTCTTACCATATTCTAGGTGAACCAAAGACTAAAAGTCTATTAACAGTACATTTCCTTTCTAGTTCTGTTTTTAGTGCAACCTTTTGATATTTTAGAAATTGTGCTATGGAATGACTTGTCCTCATTCTAAATATAGCAATTAT